AAAATTTCCTTCAACCAGAGTTCCCCTCAATCTATATTTTCCCCCTTTTCCTGAAATTTCTCCTGGAAATAAGAAATTATGAAAACAGTCTGCCTAATCAATGAAACTTAAATCAGAAGTCACTTCAGCACTGCACTATAACTTTTTCTGAACTACTTAGCTACTAAATTTCAACATGTGTTCAAATATTTCTTCTAATATTCATATGAATAAATGTTAACATTCACAGTCAAAACTATTCATTCAAAGTTGGTAGTTCCTTTATGTACCTAACGAGGTGCTTTAAACCTTTTCAATACAACATCCTTTTTTTTTTTATGACTCAAAGGTAATGTTACTACTTTAGGACATGTGTTAAGTTCTACACATATAAAAATAGTTTCGTTCCTTCACCAAAATAACCTGATATCTAATCATCATGTTTCTAAAATGGATCATGAAAAACCAGTACTTTGTAGTTATGCCAATTTGCATTTTCATCAAATACATTAAAAAAATGTTCCTAGGGAGAATGTCAAGGAGGAAAAAAAAGGATACATATGTAATACTCTCTGTAATACTTTAAGCAATAAAAATAAAAAAGAAAAAAAATGTTCCTAATGTACTAATGAATGATACCAACCACACCATGATTTTTTATTCTTTTATCAAAATACATTATATTCTAATGTGGTTTTTTTACCATTGGAAACACATTTTTAAAAAATATATTTTATTGATTTTTTACAGAGAGGAAGGGAGAGGGATAGAGAGTTAGAAATATTGATGAGAAAGCAACATCGATCAGCTGCCTCCTGCACACCTCCTACTGGAGATGTACCCGCAACCAAGGTACATGCCCTTGACCGGAATCGAGCCTGGGACTCTTCAGTCCACAGGCTAACGCTCTAGCCCAGTGATGGTGAACCTATGACACACGTGTCAGAGGTGACACGTGAACTCATTTTTTTTGGTTGATTTTTCTTTGTTAAATGGCATTTAAGTATATAAAATAAATATCAAAAATATAAGTCTTTGTTTTACTATGGTTGAAAATATCAAAAAATTTCTATATGTGACACGGCACCAGAGTTAAGTTAGGGTTTTTCAAAATGCTGACACGCCGAGCTCAAAGGTTCACCATCACTGCTCTAGCCACTGAGCCAAACTAGTCAGAGCTGGAAACACACTTTTTACCTACATGAGATCATGGAACACTCAGCATTTTTATAAAGGTAAGTTATGGGGTTTTGTTTTAATGTGTGATCTTTACCAGAGAACAGTCTCTTTTAAGACTAGGAACATTTTCTGATTCTGACTAAAGAGACATTTATAATTCCATTTTTAAACATTTAAATAAAACCTTTTATTGAATTATCTGAAAGTCTTAATAAATATTTAGTATGTTAAATTCAACAAACTTCAGTTACCTTCTTAATTATTTGCCAAATATACAATATGAGCTTCAGAGTTTTCTCTGTAGTCAACTTAGGTTTCTCTTGTTAATCACATTAAAGGAAACACTGCTCTCATGTGGGTGCAGCGTTTGTGTTTTGCATACAAATTATTTCATGGATGTCACCCAAACAGGTGTTTGTGAGTTACTGAGGAAATGGGTATATGAAGAACCCACTGGCATCTCTGACAGAGCAGAAATGAGAGAAGAGGGGAATAAAAATGGCTCCAATTTTAGCACTTCCTTATCTTCACTTGTTTTACCTTAAAAATGACCTCCTTCTCCTTAATGTCTACAGGAAATCTGTGTCCTAGAGATGCTGTGAGAAATAACTGTTGGAAAGCACACTGCAAATACAAAAAGCCTAAAGGGTCATGAACCAACCCTTCTGAACGAGAGGCTGAGAAGGGCAATACTGAAGCACAATGAATAGGCACACGGGGCAACTAGCTCTTCACAACAATTTTTGGCATAATGAGCAACCAATATTTACCCAAATCTTTAAAAGAAAGAAATGTCCCAATAAAGAATGAATGAAGAAAATGTTAATTTGCCCTGGTTGGTGTGGCTCAGTTGGTTGGGCATCTTTCCATGTACAAGGAGGTTGCCGGTTCCATTCCCGGTCAAGGGCACATGCCTGGATTGCGGGGCTTGCAGGGGGCAGCCGATCAATGTGCTCTCACATCGATGTTTCTCTCTCTCTCAAAATCAACAAACTATTCTCTTAAAAAACACACACACAAAAAAACAAAATCATGCTCACAGTCGGGCTACAGAAAATATAAAGGGAAGAGATATAGGCAGATTTATAGGAAAAGTAGAATTCTACTGAATAAAGGTTTCATAATGTTTCTAAACTTCCAGTTAAGAACAAGGGGCCTGAGTCATCATGGGGACCAAGCAGAACAGTATGGAGTTAGTTGCTGGCCTCACTCAGGCATGTGGACAAATTACTGTTAAAAGATCTATCATTAACCAACCCCACAAAGACCTAGTTCTCATTCTGGTCCTGACATCTACTAGCTGTACAAGACCGAACATGTTGCTCCTCCTCTGTCTCGTTGTCTTCTTTAAAATGGGGCTAACACTTCCTACCTTGACAGGAATTTTGTTGTGTTTTTTAATGAAGATCAGATATAAAAGATCTAAAGTGGTAGGCACATAGTAGGCATTCAATAAATGACAACTAGCCCTAGCTGGTTTGGCTCAGTGGATAGAGTGTCAGCCTGTGGACTGAAGGGTCCCAGGTATGATTCTGGTCAAGGGCATATGCCCAGGTTGCGGGCTCAATCCCCAGTTGAGGGTGTGCAGGAGGCAGCCAATCAATGATTCTCTCTCATCACTGATGATTCTCTCTCCCTTCCTCTCTGAAATCAATAAAAATATATTTAAAAAATAAAGAAATAAATAACTATTTTATACAATAAAACATAAAGATTAAATCCCTATCAACAGTCTAACTAGGCGTGTCAGAAATTTTATATTAAGTCCAAACCAGATCAGTAGTAACTTAATAGTCATTTTCACCTTTCCTACTTAAGAGTTAAGAAATCTTAAAATTCTTACAAAATTAGTCTCTCCTGAGAGATTTACATGGCATGATATACATAAAAGAAGTTTCCTTCAAAACAAAGATCAGGGGTAACAATAGTCAATCACAACAACTTACAGTTCTCTGAAGTTATTACCTTTTAAACACTTCTCTATACCACCCATATATCTAAACTACTAGTAGGCAATAGAGCAAGATTTATGCTAAGTTTCACTACAGCATGCTGATTTAGTTTAAAACAAAACAAGGAGAGGGATGTACATTAGGTGCCTAAATCCTGAGTAGTAAGAACCATGATTGCTTCAGAAGGATAAAATCAACAAGGTGGTAATAGCTATTGTCAAACACCTGCAGTGCCCAAATCTGCTATTACCTGAAGTGCTAGGGCTGATGAATAAAACAGGACTAAGACAGGAGGGGAGG